TCAAGCTTAATGAATTCAACCAATCTTATTAAGTAATTTCATGTCCCACTTAAATCTAATTCTATCTATAGACTTTCTTATGGGACACTGGTAAACTACTAACAGAAAATATTTGACTAATGTGGAATTCAAAGGCTCTTTAAAATATTGCAAATACTGAGTGAGGTGGAAGAGGATGCATACAATATAAAAATACAGAGAATAGTTGTCCTCCTTCTGGAAACTATGATGGAGCAAAAGAGAGAAGTAGTGAGGGAACACAACTCAGGTGTCATGAGGGTGGCAGTGAATCTCAGGGACAGGGAATAACTTGAGAAATCCTTTAGTCAACATTGCCAATACACTACTAACTCAAAAATGATTCTTCTCTCTCTCTCTCTCTCTCTCTCTCTCTCTCTCTCTCTTCCTCTTCCTCCCTCCCTCCCTTCCTCTCTCCCTCCCCAACCCACTACTACCATATTTTGGTCACTTATTTCTTTACATTTTTTACCCAGTGGTCTATAGGGAAAGAAAAATAACAAATCTCTAAAAAAAAAAAAAGAAAAATCACTGTGGGGGGGGGAAGTAAAATGATAGAAGTTGTTGACTAAGGTACACCCATCCACCACACACAGTTATCTTCGAAACATAACCAACCTCTTCTTAACTTTCCTAAGTTCTGAGAGAGAATGTTTCACATCATAAATTACATCTTGAATCTTATTTCAGTTCAGGATTTATCTGTCAACACCCTTTAAAGCACTTAATCATTTATTAGCACTTGGCATGTTTGTCTAAAAATAATCAACTATAGCATATTAGCCACACAGAGATAACCTTATATGGTTTTCTTTGTGAAATGAAGAACGTGGCTCCCTGGCCTTGAAACAGCTGGGTCTTGGCTATGTCATCCTCTTGTGAAGCTATGGAAATATCTTTAATCTTAAATGACTCATTTAAAGTGAGCAAAGAAAAAAATGTAAAGCCTTTGATAAGTCTTGCTATATTGAAAGGAGCATTGCCTGGACGTTGTAAGAGGCATGGGTTTTTATGGCGTGACCATGATGGATCAAAGGCAAATGTAGTAATGCACAGAGCTAACCTGAGCATCCTCTTGCCAACAGTTTTGTCACAGGAATCCTTGACCCAACATGTGCAGTAGTAAATTGGGAATATGAGTCCTGAGGTTCTGGGTTATCTGAATTATGCTATTGGCCTGTTAATAGTCACCAGTATCCTCAGACAGAAATGGGCAAGCTTTCCCCCTTCTTTCTCAACTGGATGGTTATAAAAATACGAGGAGAAAAAGCCCACTGCTTTATGTCTTATGGATAATCCCTTTATCCAGAAGCATTTGTCAGGTAATGACTATTGTAAGGACTATGTTAGGTGTTAATTTTGTTAATTGATTTGAGATCATTTCTAGCTAATTGTGGTATCCTTTATTAATGTTATTTTAAACCTAATACTTTGAATTTGCTTAAGTGGCACTCATTTATTTATTTATTTTGATTAAATGGATCTCAAAGTTATCCAAGTTCTGTTTTTGGTTCACAGTGCTTCTTCTACTAAAATGTCTCTGAATATTGCTAAAATACTATTAAACTGGTAAGGGGAACAGTGTTAATATCTTGGGAGAAATTAGATCCTTCTATCCTTTACTTCTTGCATGCACACACACACATACACACACGTATAAACTTCCATTTACTGAGTAGAAAATCGTAACTTCAGAAGCTAAATATTTTTTTTTTAAATAGAGGCATGTTATTTATTTATTTATTTGTTTGTTTTGTTTATGCATGCACTGGGTACAGTCAGAAGCACGGGAGGGTGAGAGAATCCACCAGAGCCAGAGCGGGGAGCAGAGCAGGCAGAAGGACCGAAGTACACTGCTGAGAGGAGCAGTGGGTGGCAGGAGAGGTCTGCGTGCCCTGTGGGACCCTCCTCCGGTGGCCGGGGAGCAGCCGGGGATCGAACTGGCGCCACAGAGGCCGCGGGCAGCTTCACAACCCAGCGCTCAACCGCTGCACCACCAGGGAGGCCCTGGAAGCTAAATATTTTTAATTGAATTAATGTTGCATTAGAACATAAATTTCAGGTTTTCATTATTGTGACTCATTGTTGTATACATATATACATGTACACAAACACACACACATGCACACAGAGTTCATCACTAAAACTCCAAATCTGTCCTTTATCGAACTACATCTCCCTTTCCCCTGAATTTCCCACCCCTCTTCTCCTCTCCCATTTGAAACTAGTTAATTATACACAACCTTGACAACCTCATTAAGTACCAAGAGCAGCCTAGCACGTTAGAGAAGGGTGACTTTGTTCAGAAAGACAGTTTGGTTATATCACAAGCAAAAAATATCTAATTATCCGACAAGGTCACTTCATTCAAAACATATTTGTAGGTGCAGTGAAGCAGTTCCCCACTTTGCCATGCCAGCATTTTAATGCTAGATGTACCCACCTTGACTATTAAATGTTACAGATCAGCAATTCACCTCTCCCAGCTATAAAGGCAGCCTTTTTGCCTCTAGCCTTTTGCTACAAAGTCTAAACAGCAAAACCATCTAAAGGTACTCCAACAGGTCACCACTTTAATCTTTAAAAATTGTTCCATCATCACTGGACGTCTGATTACACTTAGATCTTTATCAAAATAATGTCCATATTGATATGTCTTACTGGTTTACAGACTATTTGTTTTCAAATGCAATTTGCTTACACAAAAAGGAAGCTATATTACATATTTACCTGGAATAACTCAGTTTTCCATGTACATATGGCACAAAGAGTGGAACTGTTGAAGTCCGGGAATTATTTAAAAACTCATTATTTGCTCAAAAATCTTTTACTTCTGCCAACATTCAACCGAGGCCTGCTCACTATTACTTCTAAACCAAACCAAGCCAAATCAACTAAGCAAGCCACCACCAGCAATATAAGTATACCCAGCTTTTTTGCTTCTTATGCAGCTTTGACTTTGGAGCCACTACACTTAGTAGTCAGACAGGCTTGCATAGACAAAACATCTAGATTTCCTCACTCATTTTAGTCTTAGAGGTTTCTAACTGGGCTGGCCATGTAGAATTTCCTGGGATTTCCCTAAACAGACCTTTCACAAAGTTTTATGCAAGTCCAGCAGAAGTACATTTGAGAAGTTCTTTCACTGAGTTTTTCATTCCCCACAACACCTTGTACTTTAAAGTTTCTTAGTTCCTTTTTGATGAATTGAAATTTGTCTGTTAAATTGGAATGGTAAGAGTTGATTTTTGGCATTCCCCGGGTAACTGGGTCACTTCTGGCCCTACTGCAGCTGTGGCTGCACTTAAAGGACCCATTTTAGTCTGTGCTTCTCTCTAGAGGCCCTCAATGTTCATAGGACAGGTGGCCATGCAGGATTTTAGGACTTCTCCTATTTACTCCTCATTTCTGGGAGTGTGTCTTTCTAGGGCCAGGATCCTTATCCCAAATCCATCTAAAAACATCAGAAATCTCTAGAATTCCCTGAAAACATGACTATTTGGAGCAGGATTTCCAGAAATTCAGAAAGGACAATTTAAAAGCATGCCCTGTGGTGACTTCTCTGATCTCAAACAACAAAGCATCCCCTACAACATTTTCTCAATCCCACATCTTTTTTTTTTTTTTTCCCCCTGTACTAAGCCCAGGACTACTTTAGGCAAACCTCCAAAACACATTTATTTCCATTCCCCAAAACTTTGGTTTTGTTTTTATAGGCGACATTTCATTGCTAATCTTGATGGGGAAGCAGTTTTACATATTTGCATAGTCCTTTGCAATTTTCCACTTAAGATATTTGTTTTTAGCATCACAAAACCCCAGTAGGTAGGAATTAATAGACTTAGTATAGAGTTAAAGAAACAGGCCCAGAGATACTGGACCTTGAATCAAATAGTGTGGGGTTTAAATCCTTCCCTGGCTTTCCAGGCCTGTTTCTGCTGATGCTCATGGTAATCACACAGTAATGCTAGCTTCTGACACCATGGCAAACTAAGTTGAATGCTCTTGGTGTTATCCACAAAGTAATTGATATATGGCAGCTTGCTCTTGGAACCTGCCTCTACCTCTGACTCATTGTGAGGCCTTGTGCATCCTCATACTTATTTGCGAAGTGGAAAAATACGTACTTAATGGGTTGCTGGAAGGAGTAAAGAAAAGTAGCACAGCTGTTGCATCTCACTGTAGGTATTTGATAAAGAGTCAGTAGCAGTGTGTCATCCACAGCAGGTGAACTACAGCATTCGACTCACAGTGAGGGTTGCTTGCTTTCTTTTAGGATATTTGTTTCCCTAAAACCTGTCCCAGCCCTTCTACTTCCATGGCCCTCCAAGCCAATGCTTCCCAAAGGTAGTTTGTGTATGTGCCATATGGGCATCTTAAGATAAAAGATTTTAATTCAGTTAAGTTTGGGATGGTCTTGCATTTCTAACAAGCTTTCAGGTTATATCAGCCAGCTCTGGACTACACTTTTGAGTACAGAGTAGCCCCATTTGGTTGGACTTCGGGACAAGATGCTTTAAGACTTTACACTTGAGCATAATGTCATGCAGGACTAGCTAAAATATAGATTACTGTGCTCCACCTAGAGTTTGTGAATCAGCAGGTCTGAGCTGGGGTGATAAAATTTCATTTCTAAAATTTCTCAAGTGATGTGGATGCTGCTGGTGTGGGGATTATACCTTTTCTAGGCTTTGCAGGGACTCCTGAGGACCCCAAGGGATTTGATTCTAATCATTACTGACTTTTTTTTTCTTTTAACATTTATCATTTTTTTAGATTATTTTTAGACCATATTTGCTTCCCCCCACCCCTTCAGATTGAGTCCCCATAGAATTTCCCTCCCCAAGGCACCCATGCACCATCACCACAGTAAAGGAGGGGGTGGATCTTCTTGAGTAAGCTCCTTCCAAAGTCTCTCCACTCCCATCCTTCTAACCCAGCACCCTTCCCGTATTCTTGTCCTATTACTAGACACCCTTTACCTTGTAGACATTGATGGGGATGTCAATAATGATGTGCAGCAGGTCTCCCAGAGCCAAGCTGGCTATCAAGATATTAGGGCCATTTCGCATACACTTGTTTTTGTAAATAATTCTCAGCAGTGTGGAGTTTCCGATGATGCCCAGCACGAACACCAGGCAAGACACGACTGTGTTGATGTACTTGAAAGTCCTCTTGATCTCGATGGAACCTTCGCATGGGGGCGGGGAGAGGGCACGTGGAGCGACTCCCCCAGGCTTCCCTCTTTTAGGCATCTGGGGAGGTGCTGATGACTGAGGCAGGCTGCCGTTGGAGCCCCAGGATATTTTAGTGGGGGGCGTCATTATCTCCTCGGCCCCCAAGTGTGGCGGAGTGGCCCCAGCCTGTGCGAATTCCGGCTCTTCTCCCTGGACCCTCATCAAACAGCAGGCGAGGGTTAGCGCCACCAGCGTGCTTCGGCAAGGGCTTGACAGCGGCTGCATGCTGCTGCCTGCTCCAGCGAGCGTCAGTTGGCTTCTCGGTGGCTTTCAGAGTCTGGAGACCAGCGGGAAAGAAAAACCGGACACTTGGTTCAACTACCCCAGCCACGCCCCTGCAAACTGCTAGCGCGACGCACAGCCGCTGCAACCCCGGAGGAAAAGCAACCAGCTTGAGCGCCAGTGGAGGAACTCTGGCGCATGCGGGGACCCCCCATGCTGGCCCAGCTTTCCCCTGGTTTTTTTCTCCCCGGTCTCCCTGAAGGGTAAATGACTTGCGGTGAGATGGGACATTCTGGAAGGGGTGTGCCAAGGAGGTAAGGATGGTGTCCTGGGCAAAGCTCTGCGCAACAGTATGTGCCTGGAGGGGAGACACGTAGTTCTGGCTAAGGGCGCACGGAGACTAGGAAATCAAGGAACCTAGAGGCCAAGGGTAGTGGCAAATCTCTGCCTTTTGCTCCTCAGAGCACCAGGATAACCTGCGTCTGAATGCCGGGACGACTCCTGGCGGTTAAAGCTATTACTCCCCGGCAGCCTGTGCTCAGGTTGCCCCGTGCGCCCAAGGAGTGCGCGGGCTCACTTGGAAAATCTCAGGCTTCTCAACTCTGACTTGGGAGACTATCAGCACTAACTCAGAAGCCTCTGACTCCTCTGGGTGGCTCCAACACTCACGCGCTCTCCAGCCTCATTTACTGCAACCTCATTTTAATTCACTCTAGATGTTTTATATTTAAAAACAAACACACACACACACACAGTGAAAACGAACTAGTAATCCAAGCTGAAGCTGCAAAACAAGGCTCAATAATTGATGATAATTCAATCCCAAGCCAGCATGTTTACCTCGCGATCAGACGGACCAGGCGCCAAGCGGCGAGCTGCAGCCTCCTGCCCCAGACGCGCTGGGCTGCGGGCTCGGGAACCGACTGCTGGGGCGCAGAGCCGGAGCGCGCCTCCCTGAGCTGCAGGCGGGTCTGGCTCTGACGAAATGCTGAGGGAATGCCAGACCGTGCGGCTTCCACCCCTTGCTTGGGGTCTTTGCTGTCCTTAGACAAGTACTTTTATTCATTCGTCCCTTCGCCATCAATCACCGCCAGACTCCTCCCTCGCCTTCCAACTGCGCTGCAGCCCTTCCCCTTGGACCATGCCTGGACAGTATCAGCAGGAGCTGCCCTCTGGAGAGGGCCGTCCTCAGCCGGAGAGGAGTCCCAAGAGGCTGTTTATTTGTCCCAGTTCTAAGTTCTTCGAACAACCCCGCCTAAACCAAGAACAAGATTTCACACATTCATTGACGCATGGGGCTCCAGACTAGACCTGGATTGCATCTCTGTATTCGATATATAACCTGTAATAGAGGTGCAATCTATATTTATAATGGCAATTGTGACTTTTAATTGTTAAATATTCCGCAGTGCTATCAAAGACCTGGATGGTTTGGCGGAGCTGCTCTTTGTTCAGTTTTTTTGTTTGTTTGTTTGTTTTTTGTTTTAACCTCAAATTCATTTTGACCCCTCCATTGAAGAGCTGGATCCTTCCTCCTCAGGTTTTGTCACTGATTTTTGGAGAAGACAATTCCACCTCTATTTTTTCTAGCAGCACTAAAACTCAATATTTTGTCGGGTCATCTTAAGGATTTTTTTTTATGTTAAGGAAACTGATACCTATAAGGAGACATAAACATAATCAAAAAGTTGCCAATCAGATTCAGGATGACATTTATTTCTTAGGCAGAGGCAGGAAATAAGTTCTTGTTCATTCTTGCACTCAGTTTTTATGGGATAGGGAGACATGCTAGTGGCTGATAGTTTTGCCCAATGATTATATAAAATAGAAGTCACAAATTCTGACTGTATAGTGCATGCTGGGTTACCCTGCTGTTCTCCAGTCAATTACAATCCCTTCTGAAACTGTTAAACTTCAGGCTCTGGAGTCATCCACAAGCAAACTCTCTTAGAAACTTGGTATGTTGGCATCAAAGATAGTTGAGGGCATAAGTGTGACAAGAATCTTGGGTTTTTAGCTCCCATGAAATCCTTTCTGGAAAAGTAAAAGTGGAAAATCAATTTCTATTTAAAAGGTGAACTTTTAGTGTGAAATATGTTTTAAAGAATATTGTGAAGGAGGTGCCTCTCCGGTGGTACAAAGGGTTAAGACGCAACCTGCAAAGCAGTCTGCAGCCTCTGCAGCCCCAGTTCGATTCCCAGCTGGTCAGGGAGCAACCCACATGGCACAGCAGACCTCTTCTGTCTCGCCCGCTGCTCCCCTCAGCAGTGTACTTCAGTCAATCTGCCCATTCTGTTCCCCACTCTGTCTCTAGCGAATCCTCTCACCTCCCACACCTCTGGCCTGTACCCCAGCTTTTGTATGTATAAATAAATAAATCTTAAAAAAAAAGAATATGGTGAAGGAGTAAGGCAAAATGAATGAGAAATATGCTCTGGGGTTGCGAGTGCTAATTCCAAAGCTGGTTGTTTTTAAGCTGGTATTATCCTCCCTGTCTGGGTAAAACAAGGTCAACATTCAGTTGCTTTGTAACTGAGCCAAATAACAATATAAAGTGTTATCTGAATAAGGAATTATACAGGTGCATCTGGGGTATGACTATTATGTTTAGCTGAAACCTGCCCTTACATACAAGATTCCTTTCCGTCATACACAGATGGGGCCAAATTATCTCCCTGTCCATCCACCCTCCTACAGTCACCACCATCTCCTTTCATTGCTGCTCCACTGACACCGGGATATCAGTTTTAAGCCTCCTGGGATCTTTCTCTCCCCTTTATTCATAGCTCTTTAACATAGTTGAACATAACTGAGCACTTGAGCATATTGAGACTTATGAGTCACTGGTGGCTTCATGTGAACTAATTTCTTTCTTAGAATAAGGACATGGTAGGCTCTTTCTGTACCATTACAACACACGCCAAAAGTTGAGCTCAAGAAATACTTTTAATAGTTTTGATAACTGCATTTAATTAACAATCCATTGGAGCTCTATTCTAATAATTTAATTTTAGTAGCTCTAGTCATAGGACTCAGAAGCAAAATCAAATAATTTAAAGGTAAATATATTCCTCATCTGAATTTTAAAATACACTGTCGGCTAGCTATGATAGAGACTAGTATCTATATTAGGCATCCTGTTCCCAACTTCACATGTATTCCCTTTAGCCATCTTTGAAATAGGTATTGTTTTTCATGGTTTTAAGGGTAGTGAAATGGAGTCTCAGAAATTCATTTATGGTCACATGGGTAGTTAGTTGGGGGACTAGAATTTGGAGCTAGAATTTGTGTCAAACTGTGCTTTGAAAAATTTAATTGCTTGACGTCTCAACAGATTTTTATGCTATAGAGAAAGGAGTGTTTTAGCAATGGTAATATTAATTGAAACTTAACCTTAAATGGAGTGAAAATATATCCATGTAAAAGATGTGGCTTTTTTTTTTTTTGATCCTCTTGAAAGACCTTAATCAAAACACAAAAAATTGAGTCTCAGTTTCTCCTTTTGTAAAATGGATGATCTCTTAAAGCACCTTTTTGCTTTGATAAGTCAGCCTGGCAGACAAATATGTGGACCTTTGGCCAAAGAGTAATATATGAGAACAGATCTCATGCCAAATTCCCCCCCCCTTTTTTTTACTTTCTTTCATCATGCACTGGACAATAGTACTATAGATGCTAGGTTTTTCATCTTATCACTTTAAATTTCTTACTGAGAAACTTTATTCATAAATTCATCAGTAGATAAAATGCTTTATTTATAAATTTCATTTATAATTAGGATCAAAACATTCTTTCACAACTTAAGAATCCTTTTCCTAAAAGGATTTTCTTTTTCTTTACTTAGTAAATATGGAATCTTAATTTACACAGTTGCTTTTCTGAAGGCACCTTTTGAAGTATCCTAGGAAGTATATAAAAATCCCAGATTGGCTAGGATCACCCATCAAAGGCAGAAAGGGTAGTCAAGGACAATGTCCCACTATCCCTTTTAAATGCTTTAACTAGAGATCCTGAAGACATGGTTGAATGCACTTCAGAATTCACTCCTCAAAGAGGCTTGCCATGGGGAGCTCGCCCAAAGCAAACCTTTTCCCCTGGTAGGAGAACAAAGGAAAGCCCTTTTAGCCACAAAAAAGCCAGTACTTTCATGTACTCCCCTTGATATGAATGTACTCTTCAAAATCTACCTTGCATTCTCTCAGTCATGAATGCTGAGGGACAAGGTATGTGAAAAAAACAGAAAGAGTTGATTCAATTGCTTCTGTACACATTCCCCTAGGATCAGATCCAGTGATCAAATAGTGGTTGAAGTAAACGCGTAAAGAAGATTTAAAGTGACTGCACAAATCAATAGCCTGAGCACTTCTATTTCATGGATTTTTCTTTTCTATTAAGTGACTAGCTTTTGGATCTCATGGTTAAGAGGTACTTTGTTTTTCTTTTTAAATGAAGTTATAAGTTATGGCTAAATGGACATTTGAACATGCATTTATTAAGCAACAAAATTTGAATATTTTGGATTTAGATATTATTAAAATTTTCATTGATATTATTTCTGCCCTATCAGCTTCTTTCATGAACACTATCAGCTTATGTATCTGAAACATTCATAAATAAGGGATGTGCCTGCCAATGAAAGAATGTAAAAGTTTTAAAACTTTATCAGTGATCACTTGATAGTGCCTAGTTTTTGTTCATGCTCCTAAAGTAATGAAGATTTCATAAGTTTATACTTACTAGAAATAAGACATAATTAGTTCTTTTCTGCTTGTAGAAGATAGGAGTAAAAGGAAGGCACAGTTCCTTTCTACTGTATGAGAAAAAAATATAGTTCAGCAACTTCAGACTGTGGTTTGTTTTCTTGCTTATGGCTGAAATAGTTCTTGAACTGGACTACCTTAGGTAGCTCATGAACTGGGCTACCTTAGGTAGCTCATGTTAAGTGCAGCCTTATAGTATTTGTCTTTTTTGTGACTGAATTTCTTCACCTGGCAAAATGTCCTGAAGGTTTATACATGTTGTACCAGGGGGCAGAGTTCCTGATTGTATCGGGGG